ATCCCAAGGATCCATCTCATGCCATGACGAGACATTACTTACCCACACTACCCACTTACTGTACATCATACCATTTCGGCCGAAACTCCCCAGAATTTCTGACCTATTTCGCGATATATATTCAGTCAGGTACATGGTATGTATCAACAATGTGTATGAAGTGTCTGGGGACCTGGAGACAAAAGACTGACAGCAAAGTGAGTCTTGTACGCAAGGGAGTGACAGCCAGATGGTAGGTGTGTGTTGTGTACGTGGTGCTGGTGACTGGCCGGGCGCCGGGAGAGAGACGGTAATGACCCGGACGGGCAGCAAAGTGAAGCGTGCTTGTATGGGTGTGCGAAGGGCGCAGTGACAGCGGGGATCTGGGTAGGTCGTGTGTTGTGTGTATGCGTGTGCTTCGTGTGGGGAGAGTGAGAAGAATTTCCCTGTCGCTAGAGTAGAGTGGACGTACTTGGGATTATAGTATTGTACACACCGAGAGACTCTCTTAGTCGTCTTCCTGCTAGCAGAATAATAATTACGTCGGCAAATTTGGTTAATAAAATTTACACAAAAAATTTAAGCCGTAGTTTACGATCAACGGACTGTCCAGGTGTGTCGAAGAAGGCACACACTTTCACACACCGTTGGCCATGCCATCGGGAGCAACTCAGGGTTAAGTATCTTGCCCAAGGATACATCGACATGTTGACTGCATGGGCTGGGATCGAACCCACAACCTTCTGGTTGAAAGACGACCACACTCCCTCACAGCCACAGTCGCCCTAAATAAATGCAACGGCCTCCCAAGAAGAGCTCGCCTCTCTCCAGTCATTGAAGCTAAAGTGGGTTATTGAACCTGAAGCTTGTTGCTTCTGCCCTCCTCGACTACGGTCTGGGAGCCGACAGGAAAGTTCAACACACAAGATGGCCAGTCCGCCCCTTTGTAGCATATTATTTCGATAACAGATGAACAGATCGCCACTGGGCTTTCAACTAAATACACAGCCACGCAAAAACTGCAGCATTTGTACAGCCCCTTTTGGGTACTGCAATTAGTGAAGTGCTTTCCTCCGTGGGGAAACGATCAGCACTGCACCACGGAGGAAAGCGGCAGAAAGTCACCTATAAAGAGAGCGGGGCTACGTTGCGTGCATGGCTTCCTTCTGCAGGTAACGGGGAGACGCACTCTGGCGGCGGTCTCGGTCAGGATCCAAAAATACAATTTAAATATTTTGCACACTTATTCCACTTATTCCTAGTGTGCCACTGGTTACGGTGCCGCGTGCCAATGCTGGCACGCGTGCCAGGGGTTGCCGACCCCTGGTTTACATGCAGAAAAAGCTACATAACACACAATGGGACGGGTAATAACCAGAAAAGCATGACATGGGACCTTTAACTATTAACAAAGGAATGTGTGTTGTGGTCTGCCAGTATCTCAGCTAGTACTGAACATGGTTAAACTGAACAGATGAGCATTTATTACTAGGGCTGAAACAAATATTTTTTTTCATTAATCGAGAATCTTCCGATTTTTTGTGAGATTAAACGATCAAACATGAGCATTGCAACTTTGTACAGCCAAAATGTGGTGTCTTCACATCTTCTTTTGTTTGACAGAAAGAAAAAAGAAAACATAAACTGTGTACGGCAATCAATGATAAAGAAAGGCAGCAAATAATAAAATGTAAGGGGCTGGAATCAGAGAGCATTTGTTTTTGACCCTTGTATTCTGTCAAACATCTCATGGATCAATTGACAAACTCTTTTAGCCTCTCTGATCATTCAAAATGTGTCATGGCGACAGTTCAGTATTGTTTTGTATTCTACATAAATGAAATTGAGTTTGAGGAACAGGAGGTACCTTGGTTTGAGGCAGAACTCATTCATGGCTCTGACTGCTGTGATGAAGTTGTTTATTGTGTACTTGGCTCCATATTCCCTTTTCTTCAGGACTGCCCGAACTGCATGTGACAACAGAGGGAAAATAGGAAGAGTTTAATCTGCATTCATTTGCCTTTCATATTGACCAAGCCACATAACCGTGCACACATTACGAAGAGAGTACAAATAAAAGCTAAATATAGTGTAAGGCAGCAGGTCTGTGTAATGTCACACATGCACAGATGTTGTTCCTTACCTTTCACCTGAATTGTCTCAGTTTTTGTCAGCCCCTGAGGTGTTGGAGCTGTGAGAGAAAATGTTTTAATGTAACCAAAGATGTTAACCAGTGAGAAATTCTTATAGGCAACAACATTAACAAAACGTCTACGTCCTTTGGTTGACAGGGCACGCTAAAAACTACTTTTGAGAACTTTAAAAAGAGAATAGGGATGCTGGGGTGGGATTGGTACCAGCAGATAAAAAAGGCATTTTAATGTTATTATTGGCCAGAAATCAAATAAAACATCCAATATTACCCAAAAATAAATATGGCATGTTTTACATGTAACATAAGTTAAACTGTTTTCTAATTTGCCCTGGGTAAATTCAGTATTTTAGGTCTGCCAGTGGGAGATCTCAATGACAGTAGGTATAACATGTTAGTTCTATTACAAGATGAGGTTAACCTTTCCTCCAATAAGGTTTGGATAAATATCTGAGTGTACCAAATGAGTTAGAAGTACTGAGTTTTGTGCATTCCTAGAAAGTATTCAAAACTAGTGTACATGATGCAATGACGCACAAAATGCCAACAATTGACCGTCTTTAAACATCTAAACACTGCTGTACTATCGTGAAACATTGAAGTTATTCACCTGTTGGAACTGGGATGGAAGCAGCAGACAGGACCTGTTCTGCTGACGGAGCATCGCCTGACGCAGGTTTTGGGGGATCATCTTTACTGGAGCCAGAGGTAGAGTAGTACTGCACCTTGCCCAGCCCTAGAGAAGCAACACGGCAGTCTGGAAGGCTGAACCACATGCTGTGTATGCCTGCGCTCTGCCAACCTGCAAACAGATTGTATGACAACACTTTGTTTTCTTGCACTGCAAAATAATCTATGGTTCCAAAGAAAGTAAGAGCCATAATGTACGTAATGTTTCAGCTAACCTCTAATATCACTCTGACACAGTCCAGACGCAATATCAATCGTATTTTATTTATAAAGCTTTCTATTTAATAAGGGTGTAAAAAATAATCCATCAATCTGTATTAATTCAAGGACCAACTGTCCAATATCATGGATGCATACATCACTACATAGGATTTTAAAGATATATCTTTATTTATAAATACCTATAACAAATATGTGTCCACCCCTAGTGCACCTAAAAATAATTTGCACTTAAACATGGTTAAAGTGACTGTTTCTAGTGAACAATAGGACGTCTACTTTTACTCCTAAAATTAGGAGATTCTTCCAATGTCTGTAAAAGCCTAGTTATACAATTGTGAAGTCATATTGTAGTTGCTTTTGTGAGTAGATACAAATGTTTCTGTGTTGATTGGCATATCATATCTTCTCATATAAATACCAGTCCCATGAATAGTCTCAAAACAATATTATGGCAGACTTTTGGATATCATCAGATGTAATATCGTTGACTAATTTACGGAAGCTTGTGATTTACACCCTACTGTTAGAGCTTCCCAACTACATCACACCGATCATTAATATCTCCGTACTACAGTACAAGGTCCAGCAACTGCTTAACCTCTTATTTGATATCCCAATACCGACTGTTAAAATCTGGTGCAATAAACTTGTAATGTCCAATATACACTTTTTTGGTAATTCTACTGTGCAATAATCATTATCATTTAAATGTGCAAAACATAATTTAAATAAATCTCAAACCTTAATGTTCACTTAGCTATTTAAATGCTGCTACTCATTTTTAGACATGGATTGGAAGAGTACTTATCAGTTAGCTACTGTTTCTTATTGTCAGTCTTTTCTATGTCCCCGCTGTGCAAATAATAAATGGTTCTGATTATGTACGCACTTATGCTGGAAGTGCTGGTTTCAGGTACTGTGCACTTTTTACATTTAGACAACCTTGGAGATGTAAAGCTTAATCTTCTGACGATTGCTTATGTGCTCTTGTAAATGATATGACTTGTTCTCAGGTCTCTCTTGAAAGAAAGTAGATATTAATCTCTCAATTAAATAGATAGATACACAAGTACAAGTGTCCTCACCGTGGCACAGCTGGGGAAGCCTCGGGGAGCGTTGTGACAGGGGCGCCCTGTGCTGCATGGACACCCTGCAGAAGGCATGCCATGGTCGGTGGGCTAGGCTGGGGAACATCCTCGCTGTAGCGGGGGTCGGTTCCGAAAGGCTGGAACTTACTGTGCAGAGAAGCGGATAGCCCGGTCACCGTTAGGTTAGCATGTCAACTTAACCCAGTTCAGACAGATTAACACCATGGAGACATTTCAACACCTGACAATCTAATCAAGCAGTACCGTTAGCATAGCTAACAACAAACTAAACTATTAACACAGCTGGCTTTGCTCATCAAATATTGTCTATGCCGGCCGGCTAGCACGAACGCAGTTGCAGCGCCACCAACCCCGGCGGCTACAGAGCCAAATAATTGGCTAACGCTAACCTAACCAGCTAGCATGCTAAGCTAGCATCGTTAGCCAACATAAGTAACAAGTGCCGTGTAACATTTTAATTACTCAGAAACAACTGACACCTAATAGCAAGTATTGTAGGCTGAGGTCATTCAAACTTAGAGCCAATACCTTTTTATTGCGAAGTTTGTTCTGCATAATCTGTATCCATTTTGAGAATGTATGGTCAAATTGATGATACGCCGCTATGGACATAAGGTGAGTGCTACAAACACACGTGACCTGTGACGACACAAGTCCCGTTGTCTTCTCGTGAGAGTGTAATCCATTGAGTGTTATCTTTACAAGTATCGCGATATTCTGTAAACTGCTGTACAAACAAGGTCATCCGATGTTCATGTCCCTGGTCCCCCCTTATCATTTAGAAATAGGACTATATTTAATTAAAACCATAAATGAAACGTATCCTTTAACAATTTTACTTCAAAAATAAAGTCGATTAAGAGATTTCTCTCTTATGCTACATAAACGAAAAACAAAAGAGCAACTGTTTGTGGTATTATTAAAAATATGTAGAAATCCTTGAATGATTGGCTGAGCTTCACATCCAAATATAATTGTTTTCCCCCTCTGTAATACATAAACAGAAGTCAAAAGTGCCCATGTTAGGATACTGCTGGTGTGGCAGCCCAGGTCGACGAGGGAGGGGTAAATGTTGTCAGATTGAGGAAAAAATTCACCAGGAGAGTTTTCTTGACTATCATAACGAATTCCGGTGGTTGGAGCTTAAAATAAATGCATTCGAAAATGTACATGGCACTAAGGACCACCCTAATACACATATGTATGCAGACAATTTATTTTAGCCCATTACTTAATTTCTTTTAAATTATAAGTCTAACATTGTAATGGCCTTTTCTTGATTTTTAAAGTTTCTTTTTTTTCGTTCAACATGAACTAGTTTGTTAGTAGTTAGGTAATTGATACTACATTTAAAATCATCAACTAACCCAGATTTTATCCTGTCTTTTTTAGTGGTTAAATAGTGATAGTTGTTTTAAATGCTAATTTATCGAACATTATGACTTGAGATATGAGCAAAAATAAAACTTCCTGTGTCCAAATATGAGATTTACTTTGTCATCGCTCAACCCATGTCAATTGGAAACCTAAACAGGGAAGGGCACTAGTAGGGAAGGGTGTTGGCAACACAGCATTGAAAGGATAAAACAAGTCTTAGTCACCGAATGAAGAGAAAGGAATCTCAACAGTTAAGAAAAGAAACTCGTGTTTATTCAGTCTTTGTTTAGAACAGTACAGTAGATACATTGTGACCTCACATTGGTAGTAGGTAGGGGCCTTATGGAGCAGCAGTGTTGCAATATTCATCGGACAAATGACTTGACAAATCAAACACATACACTAGGAGAGAGGTCTTTTTTAGTTTGTTTTCCCATGCAATCACTTGAAAACAATACCTGCAGATCCATCACTTCCATATCACGATGATCAAAATGGAATCTGGAGTATTCAATCAAAAATCAAGACCCACAGTACAGTTTAGGAAGGCCATAATCCATTCAACACTGCGTACAAATAAGGTCACTTTAATTAGTGAAAATGGAAGTATAAGAAAGCAAGTCGTCAAGCTGATCAAGAGCGACTCCGTCCTGGTATGATTGTCTGGGTTGCTGGTCGTATAGGGAAGCAAGGAGGGAGTTTGTGTTTGCACTAACGCATCGTGACAAACTCCTCAGATGAGGTGGGGTGAATTGCGACAGTCTTGTCAAAGTCTGCTTTGGTAGCGCCCATCTTGATGGCCACAGAGAATCCCTGCAGCATCTCATCACAGCCCAGCCCCTGCATATGCAGGCCCACCACCTGGGGAGAAGACACAAGTCAGTCTTTGCAATTGTTTTTGTTTGTGTATAACACTAAAAATAAAGACACATTAAGACATAAGGGAATCAAACCCAACCCTTTGAAACACCAAACTCACTGCTGAGTGGCATCTACTGTTGATACATACCTTTTAACTCCCAATTCAAAACAATATCCTTTTCCTAAACCTCCCTCATGTACTCATTATGTAGTTTGTTTGGCTTACTTCCTACATTTACCAGAATGCCTTTTGAAAACCTGCAGAGACTGGGTGTGAGCCTTTTGACGTCAGCTGTAGATTATACAGCATACAGATAATCCTCTCAAAGAAAGGGTAAACATTTTGATGCATTCATTGATCATGTTTTTACTCGCTTTAAATAACATAATGAGTCCTACCTTCTCCTCCTTGCCCTCACACACCAGCTTCATGATGCACAGACTCTTCCTGCTCGTGATGGCGTGATACATCGGAGTGAAAGAAGTCTTGTAGACCTTTATGTTCTCCTTTCCTCGAAGTTTAATAGCTTCCTCTGTGAAAAACAAAAATAAGCATTTTAATTATTGCCCTACTTAGTAAAGCTTTGATTAATTTATAGTACATAAACTTCATCTTAAATAACTTACAGGATGACAGCAAAACTGGACATACAGGCAATTTAATAATGTCAAACTTATTTTGATCATGAAATGTCTGCTCACCTTCTGTGAGGCCCATCGTTCCGATGGGTGGGTGACTGAACACCACTGTCGGGATAGTCGAGTAGTCCAACTTTGAGTCCTTCTTGCCCTCAAATAGTCTGTGTGCCAGCTTTCTGCCTGCAGCAATGGCAACTGATCCAACATAAAACATAACGTCAAACGATTGCATAATGTGAATGCACCCATAGACAATTTAGCAAAAGTAAAATGGCTTTTGGGCATCACAAAAAACAAATATCAAGATATTCAGCCCATGAGCCTTTAAATACCCAGACTGACCACGCTCGAATGGAAACATGACTGTGTAGCTTTAATAAACATTACGTTATTTGAGTTATCAGGTCAACTTCATACCAGGTGTGAGAAGAGCTTTCCCACAAACGTCCCCTACAGCGTAGATCCCTGGTCTGTTGGTGTTCTGAAACTCATCCACAACGATATGGCCTCTTTCATCTGTCTCCAACCCCTGCAGACAGAAAACACTGTTCTATAATTATCAGAAATTATGATCATGTTTTTTTACCAATCCATACATTTTAAAGCTTTATTCCTTCATTTAAATGAGGAATAAAGGTTATTCAACTTGAAAATATTTTAAAAATACATTGTTTACGCCCTAACGGTCTTGTCATGTTCAATAGCAAAGAGAGATGTCTTATTGTTGTGGCCTCCGTGACTTTGTCTGCTGTCTATTAAACATCTCCTTATTTTCCCCACTCATCTTAATTGTTGATTGTAATTCGCTCGGCACATGTCAGTATCCAGTTCACTGTAAACATTATAAGACGACTGTTACCATCAGGTCGATGTTCAGTCCGTTGGTGTTGGGCTGTCTGCCGATGGCCCACAGAAGGCAGTCCACTTCCTGGATGGTGCTGATCTTCTCCTCGTCGTTCTTCTTCTCTGGGTCTTTGGTGGCGATCGTCACTTCCAGTCCCTGCTCTGTTTTACGTACAGACTTCACTTGAGAGTTTTTCCACAAATCTATACCAGAGTTTTGCAGTTCTTTGGTGCAGTTTGCGCTTATGAAGCTGTCGAAGTTCCTCAAAACCTACAGACAGAAATTGATATGTGTTTTGGTTACTTAATAACCTCATAACTATGAATAACATTATTTCATATTTAGTTGTGATTTTATGTGTTTCTTACTCCGGTCTGTCGAATAACGAGGGATGTTTTGGACCCCAGGGTGGAAAGGATGCCTGCCATCTCCACTGCAATATAGCCTGCACCCACAATGACACTGCGCCTGTCAGGGACACACAACGTTTTATTATAGGCACACATTTTACATATTGTATAAAAACCAAAGAGTTAATAAAAAAAGCTCACTTTGGCAGAGTTTCAAGATCAAAAAAGCCATCACTGGTAATGCCCAGACTCCCCCCTGAAATGATCAGTAAACACATGTTCAAGAGTACAATCCACAAAGATGATTACTTTTTCCCTAGTAAGAATCTAAGTACAGCATGTCTTACCTGGAACTTCATCATCAGTCATCACGATAGGCTGCCCTCCGGTGGCGATGAGGATGTGAGGCGCTGTGTATTTTCTTCCATTCACCTCCACCGTCGGCTCAGGGTCATTTGTAAACCTGGCATGGCCTTTAATGTTTTGGATTTTACCCTGGAGTAGAGCATATGTCATTATTGTTCTAACTGTAATTATGTCTAACAATTTTTGGGGGGAAATAAATTAAACTGCCAAAAATACTAAATATATAAATAGGGAAGAAAACAGAAACACAAAAATAATAATGATAATATAAATACTGAACTTACTTTGTCAAGATTGTTGCGATAAATGCGATTTAGGTGACTAATGTAAGCATCCCTTTTGGTTTTCAGAGTTCTGCAAACACGGGAAATGATCAAAGATAAGATGTTTGTTTGTTTTTCAATCCATATTTACTCACTTCCCTTAAAATCATACATTTATAATTAGAACAGACACAAACACTGGCAGTTAACAATTCTAGAAAAGTATAAAAAAGTGTATTCAGTTTTCAGATCAGATGAAATACTTAAAGAATAAAATATTTAGTGTTGAACGTTGTCCATACTTTCCTTTGTAATCTGAAATAAACAGAAAACTGCGAAACCAGAATTTCCTGCTTTATCCGGGAGTTTAATCCGGCAACCATCAGCTAGAGCATTTCCTGCATTAACAGGTGTACACTTCTACAAAAACCGAAATTATAATCATATTATCTTGTTCAGCAGTATGATAACCGTTTTTGCATGGAATTTACATTTTATGAAAACAACCGCCTATTATAATTGTTCCTGCACCTGCAGCATACAAAGGATGGACAAAGCAAACAAAACACAATATTACACAACAACACAAAGTAAAGTCGCCTCTATTTTAAAGTTTTGAAAAAGTTAAAATTTGACATGATTACTTTAAGCACACATTTCATTATTTGTATAGGTGATGTAGTATAAAACCCATTTTCATTTAAAGCTTTAATAAAGTGTAATCCTATCTAAATGTTAATTGAACAAAGTGGTATCCTGGAAGTATTTTAAATCCTTATGTATGATAAGAACATTTGGTCTGTGCTCACAAGGGTAAGATGAAGGGTGTTACAACTTACAACTGCAGAAAGAGAGGGAGGAAGGAAGTTAACAAGTTGCATGGGGGCTTTTATGGCATCCTGTATAGGAGGCATCTGATCAGTGTTTAGGGCGACCACCTGGACCCAAATGTCGTTGTGTGAGCTGTAAATGACCTTTGATGTTTCCCTATAAGAGGGACGCACTCAGGAGGAGTCATCACGTGTGCATACATTTTAAAAAGGACTTTATATGAATGTTGTGTTTCTTTGTATATTTGCCTCACTCATCATTTTTTCTAGACAGCAGCTGATTTGAAATTGCGACAAAAATGTGTAACTTTATATTTTAAAATGTTTTCGTTTTTTATCCACAACTGTCTGGTAGAAATGATCTCACAACCTCCAGTTTGAGAACCACTGCCTGAATGAGGCTTACGGAGGCTTATCATTAACTCCCACCTTGACTTAACTGTGTTGCTAGCAAAGATAGAGAAGTGGGCTAAAGGGAAGCAACACAAGATGGGGCAGTTGTGCAATGAAATGGACACCTCTCTGTTCCAGGAACAACAGTGACAGGTTTCCTAAGAGCTCATTGTTGTTACGCAAAGCGAAAACTGACACCAACAGGTAGTGAAAACTTACTCCCAACTGAAACGGACATTTCCAACTTCAAAGCCGTAGTCACTGTGATCATGGAGATACTCAGCATGAACGGCTGCATTCCACATGACCTGTGAAGACAGGTCAAGGCACTACATAAGACATCTAGTGAATAATGGGTCAAAATGATCATGTTTCTAAGGTGAACTCAGCACATAACAACAACATTGAAAAGAAAGGAGTACCTTCTTGGGGACACAGCCAACATTGACCTGAAAAACATTCAAGCAGTGTCAATTAGTTCAATGTAAACTAGAGGAAATAACTTCCTACTTTTAAAAAGATAAACACTGCAAAGGCCGGAGCTCTATGCACAGTATGTTGCAATAGGTGTTTTAGTTTCAAGTAAAACTTTAATGCAGGCTACTTTAATGCAGTTAACATTTCCCTAAGTAACTTTTTTTTAGCTAAAACAGTTTAACAATATTATCATGATACAGTATCACTGGAAGTCAATAAATATGAAATAAATATAAACTTTATTGCTACAAACATCTATAAAGGAGGATACTCATAATTTTGATTGGGCTGGATTGATTAATCCCTTGTTATACGGTTTTTATATAGAAATACAATTATGTAACATACGTTTTTTTTACCCAGTTATTAGCAAAATTGGGAATTTAATCTGACTAACTATTTTTGCCTTTATGCAATCAGGAAGTGGTTTTAGTGGTTGTGACACATCATACTGCAGTGATATATTTTTCTCATTAGCTATATATCTGTTGGGTAAACTAAAAAGATAAAGGAGTGGATGAACACAATACGTAATATTAGGGATTGGACAATATAGGATTTTAATAACAGATCACAATTAGTTAATGGTTGTCAATTTCCATTTTGGAGATAACCATGAATATCCTTATATTAATTACTTTAAAAAACCTCTATCTTCCTGTCATGGTCAACAAAAAATGATTAAATAATTTAAAAAAACTAAATACAAAAAGTAATTGATATTTTATGACCTTATGTGACCTTATGAACACCTAATTTAAGGTTGTTAATTTGTAACTAAGGATATTTACAAAAATGAATTAGTTATTGGATCTAATATGTTTTAGTGCCAAAGAGACATCATAACTTGCAATTCCTTTGACCAGGATAATGCTGTCATATAATGTTCGCATATTCATATTCCAAATGCTTTCCAGTAAAAAGGTTTTCCCAACAATAACAACTAGTATATTTGAATCATCTTCCTCACATTGACCCCTTATGCACAAAGAATCCATTAGTCTATTTAATGAAGTAACCTATGAGGGGTGACCAGGTTCAACCCAATTTAATTGAACTGTTAAGACTTTGTCTCTGCTGCTTTATACAGTGGCTGTTAGCTTTAGTATGTTGGGGCTACAATGTTTGTTGCACACACAAAACACTTCCACAAAAGAAGTCGGGAGGCTTCGCAGTGAACCCTGGCCACCAGCGTGTGTGTATGAAAGCAGCAGAGTGACAAAACAGACAGTGACTCTAGTCGGGATGAATAACAGTGTGTTTTTTTTACTCACGCAGGTACCTCCGAGTTTGTGGCTCTCGATCACGGCGGCGGAAGCTCCGAGCTCCGACGCCCTGCGAGCCCCGGCCAGACCTCCGGACCCGCCGCCGATCACCAGGAGATCGAACCGGGTCGTCCCCGCAGTGTCTGAGGCCATACTGCGGCGGATGTTTACTCCTTGTCTACGAAGAAAAGACGAGAAAAGTTGCTTTTTGGGGACAGAGCAGACGCAAGCTTGCATACACCGGGTTAGCTGGGTTAAAATAACCAGCCATAACCAGGAAGCTGGCGCCAGTGTGCTCCAACAGGGGAATAGGGTGGGTCAATGCCTCTGCTGTGTCATTATGAGTTGCAACAATGGTGTGCATAGTCATGGTGATCATCACATGCGCTATAGTAGCCTACTACGTATAGAAAAGCAGGAGAAATCAGAGTTAAATCTGCAACAAGAATTAGGTAAAATGACAAAATGTAGTCAAGAAAGCATCATGACGTAGTTTGTAATTGAATATTACAGTGAGTATTTAACTTAGATATACTGCATGACTCACCTTGGTAATGCCATGTGCACTGAAACGTTGGGAACCAGTCTGCATATTCTTCTACACAGCATGTTTTTATCGATTTGTAGGGCATTTATTAGAGAAGTCTCCACAACGTGTGGTTGTTTATGTGTCAGCCGGTGAAAGCCTGTGAGGGGACTTCATAACAAACGCTGCAAACCACTTCCTGTGTCACTGGGGGGGGTGAACTCAAAAATACTCGACGACACGAACTCCCGTCGGTCTCATGTTGCCCATTCAGTAGCCTAAAATCTGGAAAGATACGTTTAAAACAAATATTTCATGTTTCTGAAGTTGTCATAATTTAGGGTGTGTATAACGAAGCTGCCAATAAAAAATGCGTTTTTGTCCAGTAGCAGATTTAGAAACGTGTGAATAATCCCAGGATATAAAGGGGGTTTGCGTATTTTTATAGCACCTACGCTGCACCCTGCCTGCCAGCTGTGAAAGAAAACTAAATAAAAAAGTTAACTTCCGGTCAAAATATTCAAAATAAGACCTGCTGTAGAGAAGCCAAAAGCACATTTCCCGGCAGTATAGGCAATATTAAGAGAACAAGATAAGATAAAATAAGTTTTTTAATGTCATCCATTTATATATAGTGCAGTACATTACATACATTGTGATTTTTATTGTAAATCCTGCTCAACATGTTGCACATTTCTGCTCCATGCTACCTCTTTTTCAAATCAGCATAACTCTCCACTTGAAAATAGTATTGTCATATTTTACAAAAGTTTACTGCACTCAGCTTCCCTCATAATTATATATATATTGTTTTTTACGTATTATTCTTTCTTTGTCTCTCTATGCACTACTTATACCAAAGCAAATTCCTCGTATGTGTAAACCTACTACTTGGTAAGTAAACTAAATAAAACAGATTCTGATTCCGATTAAGGAAATACATGATTTTTTTTAAGGTAGCCTATATACAAAGATAACTCAGTTTGAGGGAAAAATATGGAAATGTTTGAAAAAATTGCTGTCCGATCATTTCAAAAATGCATAGCCCGCAGACTTATAGGTTCCACCACTGCAGACCGAAAACTAACACAACATGTAGGCTGCAAATTGTTAAACACGTTTTTCTTTTTATGAGATTACTGCCCATTTATTATTATTTTTTGTTTAACAGTTTTTATTGAGATCAGAAGAAATATACATTCAATAGCATTGCATCCCACCCAACCCTCCCCACCCGTCCCCTTAATTCCAGATCTTGGGGTCCTGCTGCTGCTGCTGCTGCTGCAACAAACTATTGCTGTAGTCATCCTGGTTTAGGGGGATCTGTAAACTGTCGTATTAATTTAGGAAGGGGGTCCAAATATTTGCAAACTTGCGGATTTCTCAAGTTTAAGGAAATGCATAGTGTTTATTATCCATTTAGTAAAATTGGGAGGTGCTTGATCCTTCCAGGATAGGAGAATTAGGCGCCTGACAATCAAGGAGGTAAATGCTATGACTGCCTGAGTTTTACCTTTAAGGTAGCCGGTTTCAGGGGTGAGGCCAAATAAAGCACATACAGGCCCATTTATTATTAGTATTCCATGCTCTTACTTTGAAGGAGAGATGAACCCGTTTCCGGTTTTGAGTTAGCTTAGCTGAGACCTCAAGCTAAAGCACAGCGACTTGGTTTGTCGCGGTTTCAGGCGTTAATATCAAGCCCACAGGAAGGATTTATCCATTTAAAAACATCTAACAGATGAAAACCAAACACTCCTATAAGGTACGTATGTACGATTTGACTCTATAGACAAAATAAACGGTACATATTCGGCCCGTCGTCTTTGTTAGCCCCCCTTGTTGTGGGCCTTTTTAGTATTCAGATGAAACCATGAACAATAGGGAATTTAGACAACAGCATTTAATTCAGTGAACCTCTTTTGTGTTTTTCTTGCTTTCCGTTACCTGAAGATCAAATAGCTGCAGGCTATGAAAAAAAGAGGAGCTGTGTGTGAGGGGGGAGGGTCTGCATAGGCCTTGTTTGAATGTCTGCATTGGTAGGGGCATCAACTATTATTTTTCTCACAGGTGGGAGACATCTCACTATCAGACAGTGGCGGTGCCAGAGATTTTCTTTTGGGGGTGCTGTGGGGGAGCTTGACGTTTCACAGATGGTGCTCAAAACATTTAGGGGTTTTCTCTTAAAGGTGGGGTAGGTAAGTTTGAGAAACCGGCTCGAGATACACTTTTTGTTATATTCCATGGAATGCTCTTAACATCCCGATAGCAATGAATATCTTAAGTGCTTTGACAAAAAAATCCATAAAAAATGTTCATCTGTGGAAGCCGTNTGGGTCCAGTGGCAGCGCCAGAGATGTTCTTTTGGGGGTGCTGTGGGGTAGCTTGACGTTTCAAAGAGGGTTCTCAAACATTCAGTGTTTTCTCTTAATCTACCGGGCGCTAGTTGAATTTTCTACCGCTACACTCCCCACACGCACACACACAGTATACTTGTTACAATGAAGGCTCGATAATCAGCTCACGGCATATAGGTGTAAGCAAAGGAAAAGTGCTATTTTATTTAATTAAGAGATCTATGGATACATCTCTCAACACCCATATGAAACAGAACTGTAAACAGATGTACTTTTTCTTTATGGATATTTTACAAATCACTCCCCTTTTAAAGTGTATTCTTGTTTTACTGTAGTATTTCATAACTGTTTTTCATTTATTCTCTTATTTGTTTTTATAACTATAATGATCATATAAAGGTGTGCCTCGGAAATAATTGTTTACATAAATCATGACCAAACCGTTTGAGACCCACTGAGATAACTTAGACTAAAGTTAACGATCTAAACAGAGCGTCCTTTAGCTCACCTGAGTCCCTCAGTCTGACAGGAGAGGACATTCCCTTCACCTTGTTGTAGAAACAGCTCCTTCTATCCGTTACTGCAGCTAGCTAAACAGATGCTAACAACACGGTCCCTGGCACGGTGTGCTCTCTCTTTCTCGCTCGCTTAATCACACTAAATGCGCGTCTGACACACACACACACACACACGCACACGCACACGCACACGCACACGCACACGCACACGCACACACACACACAGAGAGAGAGAGCCAAGCTTGAATGAAACGCAGTGACCCAGAAGTACTTGTTCTGTACATTCTGCATATTATTTTCGAATTGATCATTTTTCAAATTATGAATTTCACACATAAAAATTNCACAAGTGGGCAAGTGTCACTTTACTCGTCTTTTTCTCGTTCTTTTGTGTCTCACGCTGCGCCTCCCCTGAAGCTCTCTGGCGCCCCCCAGGGGAGGCGCGCCTCACACTTTGAAAACCGCTGCTCTAAAGTAAGAGCAGCAACCGCTTCCTGAGCTCTCCCATAAAGTTTGCATTGGACTTACAGAGCCCAGGCCTCAGCCGGCCACCGTAGTGCCGCTGCAATGCGCTCAAAAGCACCAAAATACGCATCAACCTCAGTCTCACGGAAAAGTGGCACTAACAAAATATTTTTGACTACGTTGAAAGCAGGGGGATGAGAAGGAAGTGGTAAGCTTCCTCCGGCATTACCAAAAGCACCGGATGCGCGCAGCTCGGAGTCTAACTCCAGCTGACGTATCCGGACTTGGTTGGTCGCGTTTTCAGGCGTTAATATCAAGCCCACAGGAAGGATTTATCCATTTAAAAACATCTAACAGATGAAAACCAAACACTCCTATAAGAATTGATGGCAGATGACCTGCTCAACATGATTCCTGTCACCTATCACAGCATGCTGTCGTCTGCAAACAGCGGACACCCCAACCCTCTCTTGGATCGTGTTTTGAACTCTTCAAACGTGAGGTGTTGTCCGAAATGTGGATTTTCTTGTACAGATGCAGCAGAGCTCAAGAAGCATGTGATGGAGCACAAGGGGACGAGATTTTACTGTTTTTACTGCAACAAAGTCTCGTTCAGTGAGGCAGAGTTAAATGCTCACCTGAAGGAACACAATTCAAAGTATCCGTTCAACTGCCCTCACTGTGGACAGGGCTACATGAGGAGGCTGTGCCTTGTGAATCACATCGAGCGTGTACATAGTAAAGTCATGAGTCAAGGACCTGTTAAGACTGGCATGATTACAAATCCACATGTTCCTGCCTCCAGTGCTTTATCAAGTGTTTCCACTGCGGATCCATCATTGCTTCGACCGACTGTTCGGGTGAAAGTACCTGCGCTGAGCTCATCTGTAGCCAGGCTGGGTAAAGATGAACAAAGAGGCAAAACACTGCACACTAATGTATCAAATGCTACTAATGGTAGTGCAGAACTTTTGTCCCCTTTGAACGGACTCTTTCAGCACAGCAGAGCTTTGACGGTTTCTCTTCCCGAGGAAATTACGATCCCTAATGGCTGTATGGTGGAACTTGTTGAGGTGAAAACTGTCAACGGCACAAAGGAGCTAAAGCTGAGGATCGTCTCTCAACAGGGGAACGAGTCTGTGATAAAAGACACAAGGACCACAGTTTCGCAAAACGCAGCACTAGGACAGCCAATCTTATCCGCATTAAATCACACAAACACAGTTAAGTCTATGAATATGGGGATGTGCACTATTAACAGGAAACAGTGTGAAACAAAATCTGTGAGTTTGGAGCGTCCTGCAATTGTCCCGGTACATTTTTCCAAAAACCTCCCGAATCAAGTCAGCAAAGGCAAAGTTGGATTAAAAAGAACCTTGCCGGAAATAATCAATCTGGAATATCATGAAGTTGTTCCAAACAAGGTTCCCAAAATTCTTGTGAATCCTGTAAGAGAAGAAAACTGTGGGATCAGAGTTGCTCAGAGAGATCTGGGGAACCACGCAAATCTGCACTCCGTTATCTCCAACAGGGCAAGGTCGACTGGCGCCCTGCATCGAGAAAACAAGGGAACACATGTTTCTCAGAGAGCGGTGGATGATAGAAGGAATTTAATTGATCATTCCAAAGGTGTTCCACCCGTGAAGGAAAGTGAGGTAAAAGTAATTCCTAGTGATGTGTCCCGGCATGTAAAACTTGAACCCGGGGAGATAAGGGAAGAGGACTACATTAACTTGAAAACAAAGAAAGGGGCAGTTGGTTTTAAGCAGCAAAAATCTGCCTCCCCTTCCTTGAATGTTCTCTCAGCTGGCCAAGTGAGGCCTCCAGCCATTTCAGTTTGTAAGGATAATGTTGCAAATTCTTCCTTTTCAATACCCAGGACACCAATAGACTCAGGCAAAACACCGGCCCTTTGTAATCGCACAAATTCAAAGGTCTCATCTTGGGTCCAGGAAGTGAGATCCAATGAGAGATTGGCAGAAGGAGACCTGCCAGAGTCTGAGGGTTTTCCCATCATATCTTCTGTGTTTTCATTAAGTCAACAATCAGAGGACGGCCAAGGCTCCTTTCAACCGCTGGTAATGGCTCTGCGTGGTATAGTGATGGATAAAAGCAACAGTTCTGTTTGTACAATTCTAAATAACATCAACACAACGAACAGCACAGAGCAGGCGATGGAGGCAGAAAAATCGAAACTCTTCAGTCGGATGTCGACTATCGATGGATCCATTATCCGTCACCTTTTATTGACTGACCGGAAAATCGATACTATAAAAGTGGAGGGGCAGGATAAAGGCATTCAACACCCTCCTTCACTGACCCTCAACAACTTCCTTGTCAAAGAGGAACAAAATAATACTACGCTAACGGACAAAAGTAAATGCGACCACACTCCTGAGTCAAACTCGTGCGTAAAAGATGAGAAATCCAAAGTTGACGCACAGGTAAATGCACATGCCACTACGACGCCTCCACAGGAAGTGGCACAAAGTGAGCATGACATGTCAAAGTTTCTGACTGTCTCTCTGAAAAGGGTGCAAGTAGGCGTGTGGAAAAAAACCAAGAAGGGACTAAAACCTAGAATACCCAAATATGGGACTCCGGTACCGGCATCCAGTCTGACTGACAGTACAGTTATTTATCCGATGCCACTGAAGGGAGACCAGCTGGTGAAGCGCCCGGGCCCCAACCAGCCCGTGGTGGTGCTCAATCACCCCAAGCCCCGGACCAACCGTCAGAGAGTGAGGACAGACAGGTTGGAAACAGGAGCCTTGGAGGGCGCTCCAAAGTGCAACATCTTCAAAATGAGGCTGAGCAAAGTGATGGGGCAGAAGTATGAGGTAATGGGCTGCACTGTTGGAGTCTTTCAGTGAAATTATCAGATAATATCACTGGACATTTATCTGAAAACATTTGTTTTAAAATACTTAAAAAAGGACACTATATGGACATTTGTTCTCTAAGGCAGCATTAGATTGGAAGGAATGGACTTCTGAGTATCATGGAACCTTGTGTGTTACATTTATGTTGTTTATCTAGGCATGGGATGAGAAATACTAAGTGCAATGGATGAAACACGGACCATATTCTGGAGTAGATTAGAAATACACAGATGTTTAAGTACTGTTTCAGAAGTTTGATAAACCAATAGAGTCAGAGTCGAGGCACAAATAATGCATGCTGTTTGCGTAAAAAATTAAAAGGAAAATACTGTATTCATTTTTTTTTTTGCGTCACTTATGTTTTGCATCTGGCCACTCTAAGACACAAACTGAATTTGGTGCATCTGAGATTATCAAATTGTGTGGGAACCCAATCAGAATATAGGCAAAGTCATTATCATAATATGCACACAATTTTAATGATGGAAAGATCTGTGGTGAATATCAAGTCGGACTGCAACTAATAAGTATTTTCACTGTTGATTTAAATAGTGAAAATAAATATGTTGCTCAGTGTTCACTGAAGCTCAAGATGATCCTCAAATGTCTTTTTTTTTCTCTCCAAAACTCAAAGATATTAAGTATTATAGAGGATTAAAGAAACCAGAAAATGTTTCCATCAATAAGCTGGAATCAATTAATTGAATTAAACAAATTTCTTTGGAACCGTTAAAATGTTTGTGAGGAAAATGTAATAGTTAGCAATAGATTGATCTTCGCAGATTTAAAATATGATAACGTGTTTGATTTGTGCAAAAATTTAATATAAATTGTCGATTCAACAGCCTTTTTTGGATTAAATTTTTTCGCACAAAACAACACAGGAAAACAATTAATTAACAGTACTATATTTTGACAGTGAGCACTTGCAAGCCTACAGAGGTTTTAATAGTCAGCTGTGTCTCTTTGTCTGCATTTGTTGTTACATTTTAAATAGACACTATGGGAACGCAGACAATGTCATATGTGCAGCAATCGGTATCACTCCGTAGTGTCGTGGTGCATTCAGGCACTCTTTGCGAACTCTTACATTTGGGAAATCCTGCATGACTATTTCCCAGACCAACAGTCACTGGTACCTTCATCAAATGGACTGGACCAATGCAAGGTGTAAATAATGGAAGCTGGGTTTGTTCTCATTTTGGATGTGTTGTGAACCATGGGGGGTTTCAGAAAAAAAGAGGGTTGCCAGCTTTTTTTTTGTGTTTGCATGTGTTTTGTGAAGTGAATTGTCACAGTTGTACTTATTATTCTTATAATGTGCTCCAGTTTCTTAGCAGTATTTACCACTTTGCAGGCCGTTCTCATTGATAAACTCTATTTTCTTATTTGCCAGTTTCATGACGTTTCAATGTGGAATGTATCGCAGATATTTGAGATTTATTTGAGTGTTATGAAATCTTGTGCCATACAGTTTCCTGTCTTTAATGTACTTCAATGTAAAGCCTCTGTAGCTCCTTAAATAGTGCTGCATAATGGATCTGATAAAAGCACCTCAGTTCACAACTGTAACAGAAAACCACGTGCGTGTGTTTTTAATTATGTAAATACTAAGTGACTGGTGATCCTGGGTTTAAAGTTGTCTTTTTTTAGTAACCATTGAAAGGTCACAAACTCTCTCTTTACAGACGGTTTACAACAGCATTACAACAGCAGCGTGTTGTGTTTAAAATCTAACCATGATGTATTAAGTGATAGACCTACGATTACATTTATAGGTTTGTCTTGCCCAGTTTATATTGTGTAAATATGTTTTGATCAACATATTTTTATCGTGTAAATACCTATACATATAAAATGTGATAAATGGTGTTCATACTCTTTAGGAGATGGTAACCATTCCACAGCCTCGTCTACATTGTGCTTTACTTGTCTAACGCTGCAGTGTCTATAGCTGGTGTGCTGTATTGTTTATTTTATTATTATTTAAATGTGTCACACTTATTTCTGAATGTTTTTCTTTGCCTTTATTCACTTCTCAATGTATTACATGCTCAATGTGCATTATCGTGTCTCATGCTTTTATAAATAACAATTGTGTAACTACATTTTTCTATTAAAACATGATAAAAGATTGCATAGCCTCCCCGTTTGTTGAACAGAATTGCATTACATCAAGGGCTCATGATCAGTATATAACCTTTACATAGTAGATCTCTAACGCACTCAGAGACTCTCAGCCTCTCTTCTACATGTAGAAGTACCTGCAGTAAATATGTACAAAAGTATTAACATCAAACTTTACTGAAAGTATCAGAAGTAAAAGTTGTCATTATGTAGACTAGAGAATAGTCCACTGAATTATTGATGCATTAATATGTTTGTCACTTTATGGTGGAGCTCATTTTAATTACTTTATATACTGCTGGGAAATGTACTTATAAATGTACTTATAAGTTCTTATTGTATTGATCCATATTGTAAATCTTTATCTGTTAATTCACTTAGGAATCGATATGCAAGATTCTCTGACAAAATGTGCTATAAAACTTTAAATACTCAAGTAAAATACCTCAACATTGTTCTTAACTACAGTATTTGAATAAATGAAATTATCAACTTTTCACCACAGTTTGTCCCTATCAAAACATTTTTGATTTATCAAGCTATAATTTGTATCTGGAAGCTTAAATCTCACTAATTTGACATATTAAGAGATAATACATTTTGAACTGTTTTGGTAATCAAGGCAAGGCAAGTTTATTTATATAGCACCTTTCAGTACGCGACAATTCAATGTGCTTTACAAAATAAAATAAAAGACATTTAAGAATAAATACAGTAAAAACGCATTATATAATGGCATTTTACAACAGTCATTTAAAATGCAAAGATAATAAGATAAACACAACAGTTATACAATACATGAATAAAAAGCAAACTGCAGTGTGAATATGAGCAGTTAAATTAAAAGCAGACCTATCAGGCAAAATGCACTTTTGTGCGTCTTTTATATATGAATATGTGCCCCCGGTGTTCCAGGGAACTCACAAAGTGTCAGAAAACACAACCCCCTCTATTTTCCTCCATACCCAAATCTCTTAAAAAGGGGCTGCAACGGATCTGATACAGACTGATCCAGATTTGAACACTTATATGACGTCACAGAAGTGGGGCTACGGCTATTGGGCCAACTCCACCAATCAGGAGGAGGCAGCCACAGACATTGCCGTTCGAAAGCGCTGGAGACGCTGTAGTACATATGCCAGGCCTGTAGATGGTGCTGTTCTCACAGAATCAGCCCATGAAAAGACAGTGTTAAATTGAGCGAAATGAGGAATGGCTAAAATGCATGATCTGTTTGGTATCTTGAAAAATAAAAAGTATAAATATGCATGGTCCACTATATTATTCAAATATAGCATGATAGGTCCACTTTAAATTAAAAGCAGCAGCAAAAATATATGTTTTCAGTCTCGATTTGAAAATAGTAAGAGTTTCTGCGGACGTGCATGATTCAGGCAGTTTGTTCCAGATTATGGGGGCATAATAGATACGCTGCTTTTCCATGTTTTGTTCTTACTCTTGGAACCGAGAGCAGACCCGTTCCAGAAGACCTGAGAGATCTTCAATCAATCAATTGTTCAGAAATGTTGAAGCAAAAACATCAAATATAAGCTTTTCAGTTTCATATATTAGATTTGTACTTCTCTCTGTTTGGTATCATTGTAAAGTATACATTTTACATTTGTGTTTTTTGACTAGTAAATGAACACAATAAAAACAAACAACAATTTGATCATGAAAACTATTGATCAGTTTCAGACTTCGATAAAACATTGTTTTTAATTGACACATCTTTCACAATTCGTATACACTGTCAACGCTTTCCTAACATGCTCACGATGAACTGCAGTGGATGTTATGGGTTACAACCAGATGTGATTGAACGGTTTATTTTTGGCAGGAAAGCTCCATGTGTTATTGCAGCAGCTGCTCAACATCTCTCCTGGTTACTGGATACGTCAGCACACAGTTTTCTGGACACTTGCTTCTGGGAATATTTTTCCCACTGATGAGTATTACTGGGAATATGGAATGAAACTTTATGATTTCTGCTACAGATTCAAACATCTGAGGAGAAATAAGATGTTAGGTTGATTAAATATGATGAAGATAAGGCTTGTTTAACTTTGTCTTTTAGAGTTTTTCCACTCACATCATTTGATCGATGTCCTCTTCCCAACGCGTACTTCCTGGTGCTCTCTATAAACCGGATCTTTACATTATAAACCTTCTTGCCATGATACATAGCCAACACCAAGGGCTCACTGTTGGAGTTAATGGAGCAGTCTCGTACCAAAAATGCCCCGTCCTAGTGTGAGTAACAAGAGAATATTCGATTTAGACTAATTCAATTATAAGATAATGTCATATAAGAGGTTTTAAATTACCTTGTTCACCAGGTGTAAGGCGTGCTCAGCATCTGCTCGAGTACAAGTCCCAATGTACCAGTCCTCTTCACAGTAGGTCTGCCAAATATTATCAGTGGGGGAAGAAATATTTAGATAATTTAAATTAGCAACAATACATGGTCAAAATCATAGAAAAGTAATATTCTATTATTTAATTTCTATGGGGAAAATAACTGCAAAGGTCTTATCCAATCCCTTGAGATTAGTTAAAGTGAAAATACTCATAATGCAGAATGGACGATTTACCAATAATGAATATACAAATTTGTATTATAAGTATTTTGTTAATATGTAAAAAAAAATCGCAAACAAGTCCAGCATTGAAAACAATTCGGTGAAGGTACAAAATAAAATGCATGAAAGTATACTTAAGGTACAATAAGTAAAAGTGTAAATCTAATGTTGTAAAGATGACAGAACTTTATTTTGTAGCTTATCATAATATATGTATATGTTGTATTAATACTCTAAAAATGCAAATTTAAAGTATATACATCCGTCAAAGATGTACAGGGAGGTAAAACATTTAAGTATAAGTACATAAAAGTTGTACTAAGGTAAATATCCTTTCCTCAACTAGATATCACAGACTTTAGAGAAAGAATAATACTAATTCTTTATTTAGTAGCAGCAACTGTACCTGTTGAGGCTTTTCCATGGGAACAAAGTCATGTTGGTTAAAGTCTTCTTTAGTTTGAGGCCACTCATGGTGAAGACGTTTTGATGGCACCCTTTCTTTAGTAAACAATAATATTGACTTATTTTATAATTACATTGAACATTATATTGATGATCTATAACACTACTTACCTATACTTAGTTGGGACCTAAACAAAAGAAGAAGGCATAAATCAAACTTGAGACAAATTACAAATGTGTCCTAACAAGCTTCAGAAATTAATGTCCCACCTTGTTTCTAAATCATGGGTGTCCAAATCCAGAGAATGTCTGTGATTGGTATGAAGTGTTGAAACATGTTCAGCACTCTGTAGACCTAAATATATTCAGCATCATTAATATTAAAGTTGCATTTCACTCAAATGTTTACATTCACAATCATTAAGCTCTTACCTTTGCCACTGAATTCTGCCTGGTAGAAGAAATACAAAGAAAATTAGGTTTAAAAACAATGTTGCAGGATAGTAAGTAAAAACAATTTCTGAAAGGGCTATTGATTTTAAACCAATATACAAGTAGATAATGTGGAGTCTATTATATAACATTACAAAGTTGATTCTTATTATTACATTATATGCTTATTGTGCTCATGAGATGTTGCTATGACTATGGAATAAATAGACACAATCACCAATCCCAGGTTCTGATGGGTTGGATACGAAACAAAGGGAATAGTCATAGAAGAAAGTTTTAGCTTGCATTAGAAATGTTGCAAAGACCAGGTACAGACACTGTAGAGACAAAGAGTTATTGTAAACAGGAGATCGCCCTGGCCTTGAACAGTGTGTGTGCTCCTCACCCACGCATAACTGGGAACTAGAATAATGGAAGATTCCCAATATCTATTGCAAAGCAGCTTCAGTAAAACTAATTACGTAGGATAGCGACTAGAGTAAGGAGGGAATCTTCACAGGCCGGCCGAATGCTGATTGGAGTTTGTGTTGCCAAGAGACTTTGTCTAAGTCTGTGCACCATGAAGTATTATTTGAATTATTTGAAGGATTAAAGTAACGTGTTATGGCAGGAAAGTTCAATCTGGTATATTCATTTTAATGTCACCTTATAGAGAATGTGTGTTAAACTTGTGATTTCTGCATTGAGTGACTTCTGCCTAGCAGATACCAAGAAGAGGCCCCTAGGGTCTCTCTGTTAATTATCAATAGTCCTTGCAATCAACAGGGGAATTCCCGGATACATTTTCAGATATAAGGCAGTTAAAGTCTTGTAGAATTAATGTTTATCTCCTACACATCCTGGAGGCCTTGAGACTTGGGTCACCCAGCAGTAAATGAGATAAAGGTCCTTTTGAGCTTATCAATAAAATGTATTCATTCCTAGTAAGCTGACTTTGGGGTGAAGGGAAGTTCAGGGAAGCCATTAAGCGATAAGAACAATTAACTTCTGTTAAAGATACATGATAGGATGTGTGTGTTGAAGATGTTTAGGGGGAATGAGTATGTGTCCTGTCAAAGAGTCCTCTGTCATGACTCCAAATCATTGATTGGGGGATTTGCCTAAGGGCAGAGGGACAGAACACACACACACACACACACACGCGCACAGAAGCAACATGGAATCAACAAACTGACTTACTACCTGGGATCCCGCCCAGAAGGGAAACCGACCAATGAAACACTACCAACTCACTGGCTAGCTCGCTCAGAAGTGAACTCTGTGTATAAATGTTGTGATCATTTTGAAGATCGGGGCTCTTGTTTTTGACTTGCCGTTCCTGAGACGTGTCTCATACGGTGGTAGAACCTGAGCCCGGAGTACTCTGCAGAGTGCTTCGTGATTAGGTGATGTATTTGTATGTTTTACCATTAAAACAGATTATTGTTTAACCCTTATCCTGGCTGCTTTGAATTTTTCCTTCTTTTGAGAACCCGCTCATATAGGAACGGTGCGGAGCAGAGATTCTGCCCCAACAACCAACAAGGGAGGCCAAAGTATAAACCTCCCCTTCTGGCCTCAACCAGAAGT